TATATATATATATATATATATATATATATATATATAACGTACGTATAACCTTTTCGAATAAATTTGCGGTCGCGATTCGATACGAATGATCACGTTCTATTAATTGCTCTTTAAATTTAAATGGAACCACGATTTCTCGTATAGAGTTCGAGGGTATAGTATACTGCCGTGAAAATTATTGGCTTGCGCTCGATGCTACGCTTTCGAAAGTTATTCTGTTTTTAAGAGGATAACCGCGATAATGATTCATTTAAAAGTATCAGGACCCCGACGACTTCGTCTGTCGATATTCTGGCGTATCGCCCCCGGATACAGATCGGTCTATCCTGGCGTCGAGCGAACGTTCCCGATGAATTATGTCCTCTGGCATTAGCCTCGGTGTATTTCAGACCGTTTTAAAACGGCCTTTAGAGAAGCCGTGGGAGGCTCGTTGCGCCGTCTCGTTGCGCCCTCCCCCGTGAAACGCAACATTTTCCTTCCATCAGGTGTGTTCGTCGAACCGAGCGCGTCTCCCTCGTTCGAACCGCGTTCGAGTGGAAACTCGACGGTAAAAAAAGAAGCGGAGATGTCAGTGAACTTCTTGGAAAACGGGTCCCAAATTTAGAACGGCCGATCGAGTACTCTAACGAGAATTTTTCTGGCAGGGAGCAGAGGGAGAAATAGGAAGAAGATGTTTGATTTCTTCTTCTTCTTTTTTTTCTTCTAATCAAACGAACGGAATGGATCTTTTTTTTTTTTTTTTCGAAACGAGACGAAAAATTTTTTCAACGACAAAGCTAAAGAGATTTTGATACCGCTTTCAGATACCGGCAGACCAGATTCAGCTCCCGAAGAATACGGAAAAGGGTGGTTTTCAAGCACGGTGATTGCAACGTCGTACAAGGAAATGTGGCCAAGCGACGACGACGTTACCTTCAGGTAATTTTAAAATATTTCTAAAAGCGGTGCGCCGACGATCCGATCCAAGGCGATCCCGCAAATTATTCGCCCAAACGGGAATAACGCTTTTACGGTTCCTTCTTTTGCAAGGAAATTCGCCGAGTTTTCGTTCGAGTTTCATTCAATGTTAATAAAGCGAGCTTGATTCCGTCTCGATCTATTTTTCTCGAATCCAATTACTTGCCAAATTGTCATATATATATATATATATATATATACATATATACGTTCTATGTATCCACTTTGATGCAACTTCTATATTCCTAGATTCTCTAGAAACGTATATTTTTCGACACGTGGGTTAAAATTACCGCGATTGTTTAACTTTCTCGCTCCCCAAATCCCGTTACAGTCCTCTCCTTCTAGTCCAGTCTCGTAAATTTACTTCGATTCTCTTTGTTTGTTTCTTCCTTCTTTCTTTTTTTTTTTTTTTTACGATTCTTTTAACGAGAAAGGAAGAGAGCCGAATCGCTCACCATATTATTCTTCCATATATATTTTCTTCTTCCCCCAGGATATTTTCACGACGCTGGTCGACGCGCAATGGAGATGGACTCTTCTGGTGTTCTCGATGAACTTCTTGCTCTCGTGGCTAGGTTTCGCCCTGATCTGGTGGCTGATCGCGTACAGCCACGGCGACCTCGACCCGGAGAATCACGCCAACTCCAACTCGACCTTCGTCCCGTGCATCGAGAACATTCGTGGGTTCACCAGCTCGTTCCTCTTCTCGATCGAGACCCAGCACACGATCGGGTGACTAATCAACTTGTAAACCGCCTTTGGAACAACTATACCCCGAATTAATTGTAATTTAACTTAGACGAACCCCCACCACGAACTCTCTCCGCCAATTTTCTTTCCTAAAACAACATCCAAGAACGAAGAATGGAAGGAACGTGTCAATTGAACGTATCGTCGGTGTAATATCCTCGATACGTTTTGACCTAAAAAAAAAAAAGGAAGAATTCGAGAAAGGAACTAAAGGGAAAATGATGTCGTAGGTACGGATCGAAACACCCGACGGACGAATGTCCGGAGGCGGTGTTCGTCATATGTATCCAGTCGATGACAGGTGTGATACTGCAAGCTTTCATGGTGGGGATAGTTTTCGCCAAGCTCTCCCGCCCCAAGAAGAGGACGCAGACGTTGCTGTTCTCGAGGAACGCGGTCATCTGTCAGAGGGACGGCCAACCCTGTCTCATGTTCCGCGTCGGCGACATGAGGAAGAGCCACATCATCGAGGCTCACGTGAGAGCGCAGATGATCAAACGAAAGGTGAGCGATCTCGGTGGAAATCTCGCCCGATGAGAAGGAAGACGATTGGAAAATTTTCAGGTGACCAGGGAGGGGGAGTTGTTGCCTTTCTTCCAAACGGAGCTGAAGGTGGGCAGCGACGGGGAGGAGGACAAGATCTTGTTCATTTGGCCGACGACCATCGTGCACAAGATCGACGAACAATCTCCCCTTTATCACATATCGGCCAGCGATATGCTGCGCGAACGTTTCGAGATCGTGGTTATATTGGAAGGTATTTGACACGTAGGGAGAGATCGATCAAAATTTGTTGGTTCGTTTTAATTTCAGGCGTGATCGAATCGACCGGCATGACGACCCAAGCTAGAAGCTCCTATCTACCCTCTGAGATTTTATGGGGGCACAGGTTCGAACATATAATCACGTTCAAAAAGGAGACGGGGGAATACGAAGTGAACTACACCCTTTTCAACAATACGTACGAGGTCGATACGCCATTGTGCTCGGCGGCCGATCTGGACAAAATTAAGGCGATGCAGAGAGCGAAAGGAGGTATAAAACGTGTAAACTAGATGCGTATATATATATATATATACCTTATACGTCGCAACGTTGCATACAAAACTATACTTTTCCAACTTTTACTTTTCTTTCTCGCGATATTCTCTCCGAGAAGAGGAGAAAAAGAGCATGGAATAGAATACGAGATACGATATTCGAATTAATTCGAATTCCTGGTTCTTCCATCCGAATTATTATTTCAGAGCGTATGAGCAGCACAGGATTCGCTCATTACCGGGATGCATCGAGCAGCTCTCTGACCACCGGATCCGGTTCCAGCCTGGCGTCGTCCACCGGTGGATTGCACATGAACGTGCCAATGGCATCGTTGACTCCGATTCCGGTTATGATCACAAGCCCGGACGGCTCTCTCAGACGCGAGAGCGTGCAAAGCGGGCAAACCGAGATGAAACAGCCGATATTTTACACGCATAACGAGGTAATTTCCTTTTCTCCTTGCTTCGCCGTTCGTTCAACTTTTATTCAATGAAATTCGAATATTTCAAATATTCTCGAGATTCGAGCGAGAATTGTAATATATTCGAATTATTTTCATTCGACAAGTTTTTGGACAACGAGCACTCTTCGAATTATCCGCAAGACGATTCCGGACATCAAGAGGAGGACTACGATCGCGTGCTGGAGGATATAAACGCGACGTTGAGGAAAAGTCGGGCGCCGAGCCAGGAGGCGAGGAGGATGCACAAGGAGGCGTCCAAAACCACCTTGGATTCGAGAAAAAGCGAGTGCGCGATAAGAAGATCCAACTCGAGGTTAACCATGGATCAAATCAACACTCCTCCGAGATCACCCTCGAGGCAGCATTTAGAGCCCAGGTATTCCCTCCCTATACATATCCAAATATATCGAGAAAACAAACGAACGAACGAAATCGTTGTTTGCATCTTTTTCCATTTTCGAAATTGCAGAAACGATCCGACGAGGCACGCGAAATTCGTCGAATCGACGGAACCTCATCGCGAGCCTTCGCCCCATCCTCACCTTTCCCCGAGAAGGTACAGTCTGGGCGAGAATCACGAGAGGGCCAAGGACGGGCAACACCAGTCGCCGAAAAAGACAAGCTTCATCCTTGGGGACGACGATCACCGCGTGATCGACATCGAGTCGGGGCAGACATTGGACGCGTCCAAGACGAACAATCATCATCATCATCATCATCATCATCACAGTCATCATCATCCTCGAGACAACACCTCAGGTCCTCAGGAGCAAGTGTAGGTGAGCACCTCAGTCTTCCTCGACTCGTCTTTCCATTAATCATCTATCGGCGTGTGCCTATTTGCGAGCCCCTCAGAAGGGGGGATAAAATCGCCGTGACAAGTTAATCCACGACGACGATCCGCCGCGAAATTGGAGAAGAAACGCGATGCTTCGGATTTCGCTCGGTCCGAGGAGATCGATTACTCGATTTGGAACGATTCGAAACAACTCGACTTCGCCGTGGCTTGTAAATTGTTCTGTAACTGGGGCACAAAGACGTCATGCCGAGTGGTTTTCATACGTACGCGCTCGACTTCGTCCAGCCAACCGTCGTCCCAAGTTAGTTAGTACTCGGTTAGTTTCTTCTTCTCTTCCTTCCTAGTTCGAACGACCGTTGTAATTAAAGATTTCGAAGATCGATGACGAGAATGACTCGTTCTTTTCGATAATCGTTCCGCGAGAATAAGTGAGGATGGATGGATAGTCTGTGATTCCGCGCGTTCAGAGAGATACGTCGATCGGAAACGTCGATTAAGTTTCAACTGGCAGCAACAACGCTGCCTCTCCGTGAAAAGGTCAGTCGGTGTCTGGCCTTTGGAAAAGAAAGAAAAAGAGAGAGAGAGAAATATTCGTCGAGCGGCTCGTGGTTAAATTCCATTGATCCCCGATTTCTCCGAGCAAATTGCGTAAACTTGGTCGAGGAAATCATCGAGGTTACGCGCGATTCGAGCGTGCATCTCTATCCGGACGAGACTCTTAAACGAGTCCGGAAATCGCCGGTTAAGTAACACGATGGAACGATCTTAATGGCGATACACGCCAAAAGAAATTATCCCTTTCATTCAATTTAAACTCGCGATTCTCATCGAGAGAACAACAAACGAATTGAATGTTTGCCATTCCAATCTTCGCCCCGCCTTTCTCTCGATTATCGAACTCTCTTTACTCTTTAAGATAATCGTTTCGAATAAATCTCGACACAAACGAGCGCCCTGTCTTTCTCTCT